CGGGGTTCCATGTAGTGATGCCTTGGTGTAGCCAGTGTAGATTGGCGTGAAGTCGAGGCGATTGATTGCCTGACCTTCGCTCTGGGTCATGACGACTCTTGTCGGCGGCAGACCGGCAAGACGACGGCTCCGGCGAACTCCGAACAGCTGTAGCTCCGTGGTACGTCGATGTGTCATACCCAGCACCTCCACCACTCTGTTACGTCTACGAGGGGTTTATTCGAAGCAGACGTAACGGTCGACTCGACGATATACCGCAGTGAACGGGCAGCAGCGAGCTTTTCCCACCAACCGGACGTCCTCCTCTTCTGCTACCACCATGTTCCCCGCTATACAGGTGCACATACCTAAATTACACATGTGGTAACAATATATATATATATATATATATATATATGTATGTATGTATGTATGTGTGTATATATATATATATATATATATATATATATATATATATATATATATATATATATATTGATAATTTTTAACTCTTTCACGAACGTGGTGCAATATACACCACTGATAACATACAAAAATTTCAAAATGATGCTTCACTTCGTCAAGTGTGTTTATCGAGAATACCTTTAATCACGTTGATCGTTGTTAATGTGATGCTGAGTTTATTGTTTTCAAACAATAGTTAGGCGTACTTAGATTTACTACAGAGGTACCCGCAGATACCTACCTACAATTTTCAGAACTCAAGCAACTGTGTAACCGTGACCACTCTAGTTGGTACTACAAACCTAGTTTGAAGAAAGCATTGTTGCCGTATGATCCTGCACACTTCAACATTGTTAAAGGAATTGCTTCACTTTCCTAAGAATATGCGTTGACCAAGTCGTGTCCACACCACATGCATTTTTTTATCAGATAATCCGACTATCAGTGGCACGCTTCGCATCGTTGGTCATAAACACACTCACCAAGTCACTAATGCAGAAGATGAAACATAGAACACAAATAGAAACAGATGCTTAAAATCTGTCGGGATCTAAACCTCAAGTGATATCATTTTCGCTTAAGTTATCTCACAACATTAAGAAGGTTGCTGCACGACATAGTGTGGGTCTAGTCTTTTTGGAATCATGGTACCCTGAAAGTTCGCCTTTGGGAGTTGAACGCGTTAGTGACATGCTGTTTGTAGTGCGTGCTTTAAACACTTTGTGCATGAAACTTTTTCGAATTTACTATGCACCCCATACGTCGCCTTAAGGGAATAGGCACAGTACCGTGTGTGCCTATCGCAGCGGGGTACCGGCTTTTCACCACAGAGCTTATAGGATAATCACATATGCTGACACCCATTTGGAATGGACGCTTGTACCACGCACTATTAATGCAATAATTCGTGTTGCATTGCGAAGCTTGTATACAGGATGCAGTGTGTTTGTAAATCCCGAAAGCTACTTTTACTGCATTTTCAAGTGAAGGAAGTTTTTTTTTTTACTCTCTTCACAAGCAGAGGTGTGGCCGTGTGGGAAAACAACTTGCCACGCAAACGATCCTGGTTCGAACCCCACTCGGCCTTCAACAATCCTGATTTTGGCATTGAACGCAGGCACTTGGTTTCAGTGCCCACTCTGCTCCAGGGTTTTTTTTTATCATTCATTGATTTTATTTGCATTGTTCTCGACTTTTCATTCATGCGATAGTGTTAAAGAGCTCGTTTCTCTGAAATTCCAGCGTCGGTTTAGAGGTCAGCAACAACATCGTTCTTAGTGACCAAAAAAAAATACTCTTATGCGTGAGCGAAAAATTGAGAACGCTGTCACACCTCCAATTATCGCATGGATCAATATTTGCGTGGTCTCATTCACTTGGAGCACCTGGTGCAGTTTGATTTCACTTGGCGGGATAGCGCATGCTTGAAGTATGACTTAAAAAAATCGAGCGATTCCTTTTTCTAGCTACGGTCATTGACGAAACACGAGTGCTTGGCTTTAACGCAAGACACTCCAACATCTGTTCTAACGCGACAGCGCGTTAGCACTATAGCAGACGCCCGCAGAACAGGAGGCGGAGATGCAGAGAACCACTGGCTGTCGTCGTAAACTCTTGATGCTAGATGCTTTGCGTGCTACCTTGTTATCATTGTCACACACTCCTTTCTTTGCTTGTCAGAAGTGCCGGGAGTAAGTAAAATTTATGGTAGAGCAATCTTGCCCCCACGAGATAAGAAAATTTTCGGCTAAAAATGAGCCACCAAAAGAATGGTTTGGTAATTCGGTCCTTGGTCACTACTTTCTAAATACATTGGGAAAATAAAATAAACGTCGAGCAATACAGCTACATTCTGATTGCGGTCATCGATCTTCTTTTGTACTCTAAAATCTTTGTAGGGTTTAAATGTTCTCATTATTCTTCTCACATACTTTAGAAGAACTGAGTCCGTGAAGCCAACTTTTCTTGGTCTCGAGACTAATGCTTGTCGTGTGTGCGATTCCTAGGCAGAGAGACCACGCCGTTTTTACAAGCTTGAAGTGACACGGCTTGAAGCTCAGCTGCATACGGCCGGCATAGGTGGTCTTGTTGAAACAGTAGTTTCTAATCTAAATAACGCAATACGTGACGCTCTGAAAGTTTATGTGTGAAATCGAGTCCGGGCCCACTTTCTCTTAAAGACTTTATAAATAAATTGCACTGCTTATTGTCTAAGAAACATCAATGGCGAGGAAATGATAGACGTACCAAATACGCAGCTACAATTACCAGCCGATTGATCGTCCACCCGCTCGTCAACCTTGTAAAGAAAAGTTTTGCTCAGCTTGAGAGCCACCTTCGCACTATGTACAAAATGCCTCCCTTTTGCATAAAAATGTGCTCTTCCGACGCAATGAACGTATTGTTTAGTAGAAAGAGAAGATATACAGAAATGTCACTGTCGAAAAGCCCAAATCATTTATTGAAATGCGCTCGTCATTGTCCTTTTTGAAGCATTCCTAAACATGCTGCATGAGGGTAACATGAGGAACAGAGATAGAAATTATTCAGCATTACTGCAGAAACTAAAAAAATGTTGATGGGTTATTCAATAGGCACGTAGTGATTTGATGTTAGTTTGAAACAATATTCGTTATTTCTGTTTAGTTGTTTAGGTTCGCTTATAGTCACTTTGGTTGAAGTACGTGGATCGAACCAGCTGCCATGTTTTATTCTCGGACACAATTGTCATGAAAGTAACATCAGGTGTGTATATTTTGGCCACAAATGAATGGTATTTTGGCCGCATAGAAGCAGATAACTCGTGACTTCTCACGTGCTTTGCAAAACTTTCAATATTGTACTTGTAACAGCCTTTCCACTGCGTTGAAAAGTGTTCAAAACTTAATCTCCATCTTTGTCGTTGTACAGTTCTCCGGGCAAGACAACAAGAAGTCCTTCTTTGTCACATTGGACTGCCCGTAATCTTCCTTTACAAGTATTCAACCAGGCGTAAAGTCGCTTGCACTGTTATCTAGATTACTACTACGAGCAACTACGCCAACGCCATCTGAAACAAAATGCGCCTTTGCATTTTCTTAGGCTTCATCTGATGCAACCTAAGTGTAAGCAAGTTACTCAACAGTCTTCATACTTGTTTCAAATTTGGTTTTAGACGCAGTGCCTTGTGCTGTTGAGAATCCATGGTGCCGTCTCCCTAGTATAAAAGCTTCTCTTTGGCAGGCGGCCTACGAAACGTGTGTTGGTTATGTTTTCTATTCCTGTCACAATATTTGGATCGAAGAACATCTTTAAACTAACTCACCTCGCACCATCATTTATTTCAGAGCATGGAGTTTTATACAATACTACATAGAGAGGAATCTGGCACTGCGATCGTGCACCCTCATGCGAATTATGGGAAGCAGAGGCTTCGGATTGAATTGCGTTAGCCAGTGAACTGTCTGGGATCTTTTTCTGCCGTTTCAGTTTCGTTCTTGGCGTAGAGTGGGTAGTGGGAAGAGAGCAAAGGACTTAATCTGCGCCTTTGCTGTTCAAAGAAGCTAGAAACTGCTAGGCCTCTCAATTTACAGCAGCGCTGGAGCTGTATAAGTCGTGAGTGACAGCTTCAGCGAAGCGTCGTCACCTCACCGCTGTGCATAGATGTAGCGTTCCATGCCAGTAAAGAATATTGCACCAAGATAACGTTTGTTGTTAGTGCGTTTTTCCAAAACTCGTTGAAATCAACCGCGAAACGATGGCGAAGCGAAGGAGACGCACCGCCACGCCCTTCTGATTCGACTTTGCAACAATATGAGAGGTGCGTTGGGGGCAGACCACCTGCACAGACGCACCTGGCGTCGCAGAAAACGAAACGGAAATTGTTCCTCACTTAATGCTGTGCTGTTGTATCCATAAATAGATATCGCGTACTTTCGAGGGCAAACCAATAATTTTTGTTTTCAAATGTTCTAAAAAATGATTCATTAAATCTTGATGCCAAATTTGAAATGAAACGGCAGAGAAATGCATACATTGGTGGCTAAATTTGTCGAGGTTTCCCTTCTACCGCCTAGTCACAAGAACCGTTTGCACTAAAATTTGCGTACACAAAAATGAAGCAAGTTTCAATTGATATGACTTTGATATAACACTCGGAAAAGAAGCGTCGTGAATCTCAAGAACGTGATTCAGTTGAAGAAGATGCGAAGCCTGTACTTTTTATCATTCTCATGCGGGTACAAGCGCCACTGAAAGAGCCTGAGTAGACACTAGCGCCAGATTCCACTCTAAGTATTATTTTATGAAACTCTATGCCTTCGAAGTATCTTGCACATTTTTTTCCTGTAGCCCACAGGCTGGCACACAAATTCGCAAAGGGTTGTAGTTCTACCAGGCAGGTGTTATGTAGGGAGAACCAAGATGCATGGAGTATTGAATAAAGTCATCGATCATAGTTTAAAACTAAATCGCAAAGGTCGCCTGTCTCCTGCAGCTTTATGGAAATAGACCAATGCAAGAATTTTCGGCAAAGCTCTCTACTAATATGTATCAATCAATTCTTTGGTATAGCTTACCACTGCGCCTTCTTCTGTATTCCTTTATATTTGGCTGTTGCCACCGCTTCTCCACGTGCAAAAATGATAGAGTACGGGTCCATTTTAGTCGTCACGCCCTGAAAAAGCAACAGCCACTCATTTTTTAGAAGGTTTACAGTCATGCAGCGCAATTTAGGTTACAAAAATGTGAAAAAAAGTGTTTCATTCCGTGTTTTTAGGAATCAGTATAACACGAAAGTGAAACGTGTTCTCGCTGAAGTCGTTAGGCAATAGAGAGTTTTAGTACTGCGGAACGGTGCTACGTATGCATCACGCAAGCACCTTGCGTTACGTGGCGTCGTTTGCCACTAATTGGCTTTTAGTACGCCGTAGTAGCCGCGTACGTAACGAACGTGAAGCGTAATGCGCCATCTGGTATATCAGAATAGAAGCACGTGTTGTTGACAGCCAACGTGAGCCAATCCAAGTGTTATAGCCATATTATGGCCATATTTTAAGCCACAGAGCCGGTTGGTGCTTGCCTTCGATGCCGCCATTTTGCAAAACGAAGTCTTGCGCTGTCGCGAACTTGTTCGAGAGCAGCGCGATCACCTCATACGTACGCACGCACGCATCTCATGCGTGCGTACGTAGTGGCTGCCTACGTGATGCGATACGTGCGCGTTGCGGTGTGCGCATGCGCACTACGCAGAACGTGGCGTTTTTATGTGCGCAACGCCGCCACGTACGCAGCGTACGCAGTACTAAAACTCTCTATTTATTGTGCACTGTTTCGCCAAAAGTGCGAAGGAAAGAATGCTGGAGCAACAATGTGGTGGGCCTGTGATTTTGCAATAATAGTAAACAGGTTGTGGTGGACGCGAGGCGTTTGAGGCGCAGGCGTTGCCCTTGGTGTGAGAGCATAGAGCGAAGCAGGCACTGTCAACCCACGTTGCGGTGACAGCTGGGAAGGTGGCGCGAGAGCGGCAACCTAGGCGTAAGAGCATGTGCATGTCATTGATGGCAGCTTTTCCCTGATGATGTTGCGGAGGCTGTCTCCAGAAGGTGTAGTACGGAGTAATCGAGAGGATGACGCTGCTTGTAGTTGTACCGTTGGATTTATCTAACTGCGAAGCCTTTAAGCAGCTTTTCCGCCAGATTTTTGGCAGCCCTTCTGTTCGTTCTGAAATCGCCAAAAGAAAGCTTGCTGAGCAGGTCCAGCTCTCTGACGAGTCGCATAATTTGTATATTGAAGCAACCTTCGCCCTTTGCCACTGAGTCGATGGATCGATGGCAGAAAATGACCGCATTCATCACCCAATCAAAAACATCGACACAGTGGCATTGAACGCTCTGGTAGGAACAATGGAAAGCAGCTCGAAATTACAGTCCACATTTCGACCACAACGCACGCAAAAATTACCATGCATAGACAGAACGAGCACGGAAAAACAGCTGTCACAACACAGCACCTAAAGAGTGCTAACCAAAACAAAAAGACGCACGAACGAACGCACAAGTGTACACAGGAAGAGCACAAATAAGTGTGGCAATTACTTCGTGTAGATGCAAGGCACTCTTCGTAAACGCGGCCGCAACAGCGGGGTATGTGACCATCGTCCTTGCTTTATCTACTGTAACTACCGTCACTGAAACTTGCGATGGAACTGCAAGCGCTACAAACTGAACAAACACGACAGAAGCGCACGCGCGCGAGTGAGTAACCATGACAGATGTCAGACTCGGCCCAGCGGCACTGCAAAAAACTGCCGCCACAAGTGCCCTCATCCCCGCACTGACCATAACCGGGTGGTGCAAAGAGCCATCCACAAACAAGGGCACCTACATAGGCCCTTCTGTTTCGTTAAAAATCAAGGACCCTACAAGCTGCTTCCGCCAATCCAACCTCATTTGAGAAAGTAGGAAGCGTATCGAAGCGAACTGGAAGGACCGATACGAAAGATGTTCGTGTTATTCCGGCGAGCTACAACGTGCAATTAAGGTGCAAGCGAGCATAGCAGGACATTGAATTTGAAGCATGCGCTTTGACGTACGTCCTGTAAGACCCTAAATGCGTAAATTTGGGCATACACTCCTCGCCAAAGCGATGAAGTGCATCGAATAGCAAAGTCTCTTACGTTAATGATACGCCCTCGCTTTGTTAGGCACGAATGGCTCCGGCGATTTTCGACTTTGCTGTTGCATTCTCCATCCATCAATCGCTTACCGTGCATTGAACTGTTTTATTACGCATGCTACAACATTCTGCGGGCGGCTATCTTCGGTTTTTTGTATACGGCAAATGAGAATGCATGCATGTCCACTTTTTCGCTTAACAACGAAAGCTAAACTGAGGCCACCAGCAATCGCGGAGGTCAATGGTAAGAAAAACCTGATTGTGATCACGACCATACTTTGCGATTAATCTGTATACCGTACTTGTTCACATTTGCCAGCTAAACCGCCTGAAACTTCGTGCCTTTTAAGCCCAGGTGTGCGAAGCTGCGTGGTGACAGCTACCTCTAATTCCCGGCGGTTGTGGTTTGTGCGATGATTATCGCACGCGCCGAGACCAAATACTTTCTGGAGCTTCATAGGCAAAGTTACCACAGTTCTTCGTCAAGACTGCTCAAAGAAAAGCTTACCGAGCAATTTAAAACAGCCCGCATCCAGTGCTTTCACCATTCTGCTTCGCGACATTTATGAAAATCGGTAAAACTGAAGCCCTTTACGTCCGTGGCAGTTCTCGCAACAGTGGTGTCTGTCAACTGAGGTGTTTTTTTGTTGAGCGCGGAGCTCTTGTGTCTGCTCTCGTTTTCGCCATCCTTCTGGCGAGAGAACCAGCAAGCACGTCATGGCGATTCGTGACGTGTCCGAGTATCGGAGCGAAATTTGCATCTCTTTTTGTTAGTGTACCATGCATAAATACACCTAATATTCAGCTCAATCCTTGTTTCTCCCGCGCTAATTTCACCTGGGTGTGCAGCAAGCTGTGAAAAAAAGTCGGCCTTTTGCACTACCCAAAACTGCCTCGACAAGTAGCGCTACATGTCTGCAAAACTCCAGAGCCAGTCAATGAGTTGGTTGGTCGATTGATTGGTTGGTCGGCCGAATAGCTGGAGTAATCTGTATATAAATGCTGTGATAGTCATTCATGCGCTTCATTTTCTCATCGTTATATGCACATCATGCATATCATCACCACGTAGGCTCGGGTTGTGGGGATCTGTCTCGGTCAATACAGAAGAATAGGCTTCGATACTCAACCTTGCTTTACACGTTGTGGAAGGTGCTTCCTGATTCCAATGTTTTCCCTGCGCTCCGGTGCCTCATCCGCTTTCTCTTAACAGCATCCCTGGAGCTTCGTTCTGGTCGTCACCTTTAAAGCCATATCTCACTCATGTCCCACCATGATCCGAACCAAGCGGGTTCATTCACCTCACCTACATTCTTGCGGATTCTGTCTAGAACCGTCGTCGGTCCTCAGAAGGATACACCAATGTCCACGGGGTATTCGCGGTATTCGCGGGGAAGACGTTGAGGAATGGTTGGAGGAATACGCCTGTGTGAGTTTGCTTAACCCTTGGGAGAATTCTGCGAAAATGTCTCGCGTCCTGTTCCATCTCACAGATTTGGTTTTCCAACCTTGAAGTCAATTTCCCCTAATGGGGAACCTTTAGGCCGCTCCTCCACCTCATTTTTGACAACCCTTTTGTCCGTTCTGACATTGTCAAAAGGAAACTTGCTGACCATGTTCAGCACTCTGGCGAGTAATATATACGTATTGAAGACATCCTCTGGCGAGTCACATATGTATGTCACGGCCATTTTCGGCAACCCCACGTCACGGCAATTAACGGCCGCCGTACACCCCAACTGACCGTGGGAACGGCGGGCGCACGAAAGAGAGCCGAGAAGTGCAGAATGGGATGCTCTTCTTCGAACGTCGCCGCCGACGTTTGATTCTTTGTAACTGCTGCGGCGTCTGAAGGGTCGTGGAAGGCCGCGATGTACACCGAACAAGGATTAGACTACGAGACGCACCGGCTCGTAGTCTAATCGAGTGCCAAACAGTCTGACTGTTACCACGGGAAAACCGTGGGAAAACCTCTAGTGGCCAAGTCGTATGACAACACCCCAACAGGTTGTCACTCTCGCTAGTTGAGGGACCCTTCTCCTAATTAAAAAGGGGTGGGGTCCATAAATTTTTGGGGCGGAGTTTCCATCAATGAAACGCGCGCGATTAGAACCATATAGAGGTCTCTTGTCTCCAAGAAAGAGTGCGAGGGGACACAAGGGGGATTTAAGTGCAGGATTTTTTTTGCCCTGCTAGGCAAACTAGTCACTGACCAACATGGTTTAGAAATAGATCAACAAGTATATTTTCTAGAAGTTTTTAGTGTGGCTCTGTATCGGCTGGCCACCTAAACTTACCGTTCGTCTAGTTTTGACGCGATATTAACGTCTGCAACGTAGACATTGCGACTTTGCCTCGAGTTAGCTCAACCTACCCGAGGTCATCTGCAAGCACTAGCCTCCCGGAGCCACCAGCGCTGCAACACCGCCAACATCGCAGTCGTGCCAGAACTCTCTTCGACTTCTCGGATCCGATGGTCGGGGACGCAACGCTACCGGTCATCACACGTAGGCCTTCACCTGTTTATATCTTCGGACTTTCTCCTCCGTAGTTCTATTGTTGTTAGTTTGTGTAGTTTGTAATAGTTTTCTCGTAAGCTGATTTATTGTTCTTTATATGTATTTTTAGTTGTATCAAGTGTTGATGTATTTTGTTAGTTGTATTGAAGTGTTGTACTAGATCCCGTGTGCTGCAATATCACAAGAGTAAAGTTTGTTTTGTTTTCTGACGTCTCTGATATTTTCACTGTCTACTTGCGTATAGAACGAACTAACCTGCTGTCATTCCCGTCGCCGACTTCGCGCTGGCGACGCTAGAGTGGCAGCTTGTAACAAACTGGCGTCCGCGACAAGGACGTTCCGTATAGAGTAAGACAGTGAGGGGCGAACGAGAACCGTGCGGACAGCATGGTAATTGAGCCACACAGTTGAAGCGGTTGCATCCTGCATATGATTGCGCTGTTTTTATAGTGGCGTTATAGTGACAGTTGCAGTATGGAGT